CTAATCCAAAGAGCAGTCATGGTTCTCTGCCCTGTGGAAAGTCTAAGGTCCTCCCCCCTCTAGGGGGTGTCTAGGAAGGTGAACATCCAAACTGGCTAGGCTCCCACCAAGCCGGAACATGAAGTAGGATCAGAACCTCCCTAGTGCTGGGATTAAAGATGTGTGAAATATACTTGACAGATATGTATTAGGTACTTTGTAGTACATGCAACTGGAGAACATGTACATGTATATGGAGAACAATGGTTTTTTTGTGGTATGCAACAAGTCTTCTTTGTCCTGCCAGCCAGTTCCCAAATAACACATGGAGACTTATTAGGTATGAAAGTTTGGACTTAGCTTATATTTGTTTTTAACTAGCTCTTAATAACTTAAATTAGCCCATTTATATTAATCTACCTTTTGTCATATACCATCCATTCTGCTTCTTCCCTCGCTCCTTGTGTCTCTTACTTGCCTCCATTATCTCCTCCTAGTTCTTCTCTCTGATCAGAAGTCCTGCCTATACCTCCTGCCTGGCTATTGATCATTCAGCTTTTTATTAAACCAGTCACAACAGTATATTATCACACACTGTACAAATATCCAACAACAGTAGTAAGCATAAAATCACATTAGTAACCTGAACATACACTAGAGGTGTAGTCCTTCATCCCATGAATGTATTGAACCTACCTTTACATCAGATTTCCTCAAGGTGGAGTCAGTCGAGAATTATTTATTATAGTGCTTGAAGATTATGGAAGAAAATTATAAAGATAATTAAGAGACAGTATTAAAAAAGAAATAAAGTGATAAGGATATTGTCTTGGTACTTAAAATTATTTGCTGAAAATGAAGCTGAGAGGATATATTCTAAGAGAAATTAATGACAAAGGATATGAAATAAATATTCCCAAAGACAAATGAGTAAATTATATCATGGTGAAAGTCTGATGATTTATTAATGCTGCACTATAAGTTGAAGTTTTAGTGGAAGTTAAGGGGTTATTCAGTTAATTAAAAGAAGCTGGAAAACAGTATAATTTGCCTCCTATGACATGCAAATAAATAAGATCATTGTCTAGGTTTCACACTGTATGTGATTATTATTCTCATGGTATTTAGTTATAAATTATATTAAAGAGCTGAATGGCAGGATAGATACTAGTGGAGTACCAATTCCATATTATGACTGTCATTTGCAGTGTCCTTCTTGGTTTGGTGCTGGTGAGTCAATACATATAAAATCAGGATATCTATGAGCAGAGGAAATCTTACCAAGTTACTTGTTTGTGTGGACCTAAACATTATGGTTGTTTTGTTATAGGTTCCCTTGGGGAGCTCTGTATACTCTGCGAAGACTTCATTTACCTTTTATGGAAATACTTTTATGCAGTATATTCTGATAACAGTTTTCATTTCCCCAATTCCTTCCAGATCTTCCCAAACTTTCCTCCTCTTGAATCCACAACTTTTCTGCCTCTCATGAGAAAGCAAACAGGAATTAAAAGTATAATAATAAAATAAAATACGAAACAAACCGAAGAAGTTAGAATAGGTCTAAACAAACAAAATAAAAAATAGCCAGAGAAAAAAACACAAGAAACATAGACTAAGTGATAGACATTTTTGTACACACAGGAATCCCATAAAAACATAAAACTGGAAGTTATAATATATGCACAAGGGACCTATAAGCTAAAAATATGCCCTGATACAACTTTATGAGGCAAAACTTCCCAAAATGCCATTGTGTTTGTTCTGTGCTAGTTATCTACTATTAGGCATGTGGCCTCCCATTTATGTACTCAATGAGACATCCTTGGAGAAAACAAATTTTTCATTTGCAAGTGGTTATCATTTGAAGACAGCTTCTGGTCCAGGGATGGGGATATTTGTCGACACTTCTCTTTTCAGTACTGGGATCTTAGAAGCATACATACTTTCTCCATGTTACCATAGTCTCTGTGAGGTCACTTGTGCGGTCCTGCTATGCTGTGTTTAGGAGGCCTTGATTCCTTAGTATCTTCTATCCCCTTGGCTCTTACTATCTTCCTTCTTCTTCCCAGGGATCCCCAAGATCCTTGATTTGATGGAAAATTTTCATTTAGGACTGAGTGTTCCAAGTTCTCTCACTCTTTGCATATTTTCTGACTGTGGATCGCCATGTATGTTCTCATGTACTGTAGGAGGCTTGTCTGATAATGACTGAGAAAGGCACTGACTTTTGAGTATAGCAGAATTTCATTGGAGTTATTTTATTGCTACATTCTTTTAGTAAAATTGTAGTATTTCATTTTATCCTCGGTATCTGTGATATCTAGTGTCAGGTTCTTTGTCACCCAAGTACTGTCAGGTACAGACAACTTACTAGTAATAAGGCTTATTCAGTTCTTGTTTGGTTACTCCCACAAGATTTGTGCTATTGTACTAGCCAATCTTGCATTCAGGTTACCATTGTATGTAGAAAGAGACTTTCTTTTGTTTCCTGGTCACCCAGACCCAAATAATCACAGAGAAACTATATTAATTACAATTTTGTTTGACTGATATCTGTGACATTTTTCTAGCTTGCTCTTGCACCTTAAATTAATCAATTTCTATTATTCTATATTCTACCATGAGTCGCTTGGTTTGTTACCTCTTACTTTTTGGACGGCTACATGGTGTCTCTTGAAGTCTGCCTACTCTCTCTATATATCTCTGTTCAGATTTCCTGCCTGGCTTTACTCTGCTAAGCCATTGGCCAAAACAATTTCTTTATTAACCGATGATCGCAAAACATATTCAAAGCTTACAGAGTGGAATCCTACATCAACTGCAGTTGGGTTGATGTTATGCTATCCCTTTGGTAGGGTGCAGAGTACTTTCTAGTACCGTGAACAGTGGTCACTATGGATAGGGGCTCTAGGTAGATACCAGCTTGATTTCTTTGTTTTCAGTATTCATATAGGTGTTTTCTTCAGCAATAGCGCCTTATTGTATATTGATAGAGACTAATCAATAGCCTTTGCAATAGTTTGGCTTATTTGGGGGTTCCCATAGGACCCATTTTGCCAACAATATGTAAACCATTGCTAATACAAAGTGGTTCTGAAACACATTGTGAACATGGTTCTGCATCTTCACATGCATTGGAGATTTTTTTTAACCTGATTCCTAAATTTTAGTTAGATATCTCTAAATCAGTCATCTTTCAGATATCTTCTATTAACTAAGAATATAAATGATGAAAGGTATTGAATATCTTTCTTATAAAAGAAACACTCTATGACATCAAACTTACTCCCTTTTCAGTGTTTTGGATTTCATATAAATATCAAGAAAATGACAAAATCTATTCTGGAAGAAATGTATAATTCAGGACAGTGGGATTGATTGTTTGTAGGTTGATAAATAAATGACATTTAATATGCATCAATCATAATTTTGTCATTGCAGTAATGAAGGCTAAAGGAAATGATTGTGGCAGGATTTTCACATTGGTTCTCTTTCTGTGAGCAATTGTGAAGAAGAAAGTTTACCTGTGACCGCTTGGTAGTAATGGTATAGTATAGGTGCCAGTTACTGGTGACATGCTCTGCCATGATCCATTGTTTGGCATTTGATAACTTATATGAGCTATGGTGTATTGATTAATTTACATTAAACACAATTTTGAGTCATTTGAGAAAACTGATTTTGAATAGAGAAAATTCATTATATGGTTGGCCTTTAGGCAAGATTGTGGAGCATTTTCTTAATTAGTATTTAATATAGGAAGGCTTGTCTCATTGTTGGTAGTATCAGTCCTGATCAGTTAGCCCTGAGTTTATTTTTATACAATGAAAAACTTTTTTGTTTGTTTTTTTAAATTAATTAATTTCTTCATTTTATGTGTCAATCCCAGATACCACTCCCTCCCCTCATCTCACTCCCTCTACCTTCCCCTGTATCCCACCACCATCTACTCCTCAGAGAGTATAAAGCTTCCCATTGGGAATCAAAGTCTAGCACATTGCTTTGAGGCAGGACCATGGTCATCCCCACTCAATCTAGGCTGAGCAAGGTATCCCTCCAAAGAGAATTGGTGTCCAAAAGTCAGTACAAGCAGTAGGGAAAATCCTGGTCTCACTGTCAGTGGCACCACAGTATGCCCCCGCCATACAACTGTAACCCACATTTAGAGTGCTTAGTTTGGTCCTATGCTGGTTTCCTCACTGTCATGTCAGAATTGAAAGGCTTCATTAACTCAAGTCTGTCATTTTTGTTGGTATCCTCATCATGGTCTTGACCCTTTTGATCATATTATTGCTCCTCTGTCTCTTTGACTGGGCTCAGGGAGATGGGCCCAGTGCTCCGCTGTGGATCTCTGCATCTGTTTCCATCAGCTGCTAGATGAAGGTAGTCATCAATCTGATTACAGGGAAAGGTCAGATTGTTCATTCATTCATTCATTTGTGCATTTTCTCTCATGTTATATTCTAATATTGTTTCCCATATCTTCCTTTCTCCTAGTCCTTTCTTTTCATGTCCCTTCTCCCCCAGATTTACACCTACTATCACTTCTCCTCAGAAAAGAGCATGCCTCTAAGGGTCAGCAATCAAACATGACATAACAAGCTACAATAAGGCCAGGTACATACTGTCACATCAAAGTAGGAGAAAAAAGGGTCACACAAGCAGGCAGAAGAGTCATAGACAACTTCCACTCCTGCTCTTAGGAATCCCACAATAACACCAAGCTGCTGAGCCATAACATTCATACAAGGCTCCTAAGTCAGACTCTTACAGCTTCCTTATCTCTGCAAGCCCCCAATAAGTCTTAATTAGTTGGTTCTGTGGGTTGTGTTCTCGTGGTCTCCCTGAAGCCTCTGTCTCTTGTTCCTCAAATCCTTCCTCTCTGTGGTACTTTGAATGTAATTGAAGCCCATAATCTTATAGGGAATGCCATTATTAGGAAGTATGGCTTTGTTGGAATGGGCATGGCCTTGTTAGAGGAAGTCATTACTGTGGGCTTTGATGTTTCCTATGCTCAGGATAATGCCCTATGTCTCAGTTTGATTTCCTGTTGCCTGGATGATGTAGAACTTTCCAGTACCACATCTGCCTGCATGCCACCATGCTCTGCTTCATGATGATAATGAACTGAACCCCTGAAACCGTAAGTGAGCCATCCCAATTAAATACTTTCTCTTTAAGAGTTGTCATGGCTATAGTGTCTCCTCACATCAACAGAAACCCTACCTAAGACATTCCACCTCCTTTACTTGACTCCCTGCCGAATGTTTGACAGTAGGACTCAGCATCTGCTCCTGTCAGTTGCTGGATAAATTCTCTCTGGTTTCTTTGATGAGGTTTCTGCTAGGCTCAGATCCCAGATCACTCTGCAGGCAGAACAAAGTGTAATTTTATTGTTTTGTGGCTGAATTGGTATCCCAATCCATGTAGTTGGAGGTCGCTTGTTTGCTCCTCCTATGACAAATTGGTGCCAACGTGGCCAACAAAAGTCCTTAGAATCTGAGAGAGTTTGGGAAGGAATTCTAGGCACAAACAAACAGAGTTAAGTGCAGCTTAATGCCATGGCTCCTTTAAGAGAGGTTTTCCTGATTCAGCAGTAGCAGGAAAATTGCCTCGAGGTTTAGAAACTTGCCTTCCTGAGCCATGCTGCTATCACAAACTCTGACTCTTTTGGGAGTTCTGGCTCTGAAGCATTTAAATGGGTCCTGAGAGCAGAGTCCTACAACTTGCTTAATGGCTGTGTGCCTAAAAATGGGGAAATGTACATGGTTCTCAGAGGCAGTGAACAGCTCTGCCATGCTGGACTGGGCAGAACAAGCAGGCAGGACCTTGTATGGGCTAGCAAAGCTATTGCTTAGGTTTTTAAGAAGTGCTTAGCATTTTAAGAAGTTGTCCGGGTCAGAAAAGGATTACATATACGCAGTAAGGATGTATTCAGACATTAAAACATCTAAATGAGACTCAGGGTATTTAAAAAATGTACGTAGGCTTGAGAGAGAGAAGAAAAAGAGTAAAGAGACAGTAAATGTAATATAAGAGTACAGATTGTCATAGATTAAATGAGTAGAGATAATAAAATGAATATGAAACTTGTACAAAAATTAGTAGAGTAAGAAAAATAAGCAACGTAAAGATGGAATATATGCAGAGAGTCTGGATTATGTATATTGTTGTTTTTTTAATTTTTTTTACTATGAAGAAGCTAAGTACAGAGAGATTTCTCCATCATGATCTTGTTCTCACTTGCTCAGCTGCATTCCCATATCTTTGCCTGGTTCTTGGTTGTAAATCTCTGGATCTCATTGCATTCATTACTGGATGAAGGCTCTATAATGATAGTTAGATAGTCACCATTTTGATTACAGGGGAAGGCAAATTCTAGATCCCTCCCCACTATTGCTAGGAGTTTTGGCTGTGGTCATCCTTGGGGATTCTTGGGAATTTCCCAAACACTGGGTTTGCATTATCTAAACCATATTGTTGGCATTTCATGTGTGCAGCTTCCATTTCATATCTAGAGGACCTGTCAAATCTAGAAGAACCTGCAGAATTCCCAGTCTTTTGGATCTCACAGTCATTTTTTCTAACTCTTCTTTGTATTTCTCTGAACTCTGGATGTTCAAGTTGCATTGTAACATTGAACAACCGAAGACAACTGCATCACAGCCATTTATTCTCTACATTTTGAGCAGGTAAGGTTTTCTGAAACGCTCTCCTTCTGTTTCAAGGAAGCTATGTTGAGGGGTGGATGGTGAAGATAATTTTTATTGGTAATCCTACAGTTAAAGTAAAAGATTTGGACAATGTTAAGGGATCTCCTAGTAAAAATGAAAAGAGAAAACAAAGTTATTTTCATGGTCACTTGAACCATCCACAGAGAAATAGTACACAAAATAGGATCTCTACATTTTGACCACTTGTGGAATTTTTTAGTGGTGTGTCTCTGTTCTAAACATAAGGAGGGTATGAAGCGAATATGTATATATATATTATACTTATATAAAATATATATAATTTTCATAATATATTATGCCATTTCCTTCTTCCCTTATACCCCTCCTTGCTCTCTTTCAAATTCATGGCATCTCTTTTCACTAATAGTTGTTATACATACACATATATGTATATATAAATATTTATAAAAATATATTTCTGAATTCATAAATTTAAACTTGTCAGTTTATATACTGTTTACCACATGTGTTTTCAGGTTGTGAAAATAAATTTTAGTTGTAATCCTATGAGTTAGAAAAGTAAAGAGTTTGACAATATTAAGAGATCGCTTAGTACAAAAGAAAAGAGAAAACATAGTTATTTTTCATGACCACATCTACAAAGAAATGGGACACAGAATAGGATCTTCACTAAGAATTTCCTGGTGAAGGACTGGGTTAGTTATTTTATAGGACATAGGAATTAATTAAATCAGCGTGCATGCGTCATTTTATTGAAATGACTAAAAATGGACAGAAAGGACAAAGGCTACATCTGCATCAGTTCTCTGTATAGTACGTGGTGTGCCGTATTTTATTCAGACTGGCGTCAGGCATGTGATAATGTATGTGTAAGGCGTCATTTTGAGTAGATTAAGGCTCACCTTGTTCCTCATTTTTGTTGTCCAGATTGTCAGAGTGATATAGTTACAGAATCTTTTTTTAAAGTCCTTATCTGATCTCAGTTTATTTTTATTATCTTTAAAATTAGTAAGTAGATATTAGATATCATTATGTGATTTTTAAATAAAGTTTTTTTTTAATTTTTCAAAACATGGTGTTTCTGTAGCTTTGGAGCCCATCCTGGAACTAGCTCTTTTTTTATTTTTTATTTTATTAAAAATTTCTGCCTCCTCCCCACTTCCCACTTCCCTCCCCCTCCCTCTCTAGTCCGAAGAGCAATCAGGGTTCCCTGGCCTGTGGGAAGTCCAAGCCCCCCCCCCCCAGGTCTAGGAAGGTGAGCATCCAAACTGGCTAGGCCCCCACAAAGCCAGTACGTGCAGTATGATCAAAACCCAGTGCCATTGTCCTTGGATTCTCAGCAGCCCTCATTGTCCGCCATATTCAGAGAGTCCGGTTTTATCCCATGTTTTTTCAGTCCCAGTCCAGCTGGTCTTGGTGAGCTCCCATTAGATCAGCCCCACAGTCTCAGTGGGTGGGTGCACCCCTCGTGGTCCTAACTTCCTTTCTCATGTTCTCCCTACTTCTCTAGAGGGGTTCCCACGGGTCCAGGGCGATGTCCCCAGTTAATTACTTGGACAGCTGAGGATAGGGAGCCTGAAATGGCCCTATCCTATAACCATACTGATGAATATCTTGCATATCACCATAGAACCTTCATCTGGCGATGGATGGAGATAGAGACAGAGACCCACGTTGGAACATTGGGTCCAGCTCTTATATACAAGGCTGGCCTTGAACTCTCAGAGATTCACCTGCCTTCTGAGTTCTGGGATTGAAGGCATGTGCCAACACCGCCCAGCTGAATAAAGGATGTTTGAATACATTCTCCTTACTTCTCCTCTCCCTCACCACCCTGCCACTCATCTATTTTTCATCTTTGATGTTATATATGTCCATTTTACAAACCCCGTCCTTCCTTCCGCATCACTTATTTTACCCTATCTTGGTTTCTACTTTAAATTTTTAGGTTTTACTGACATTAGATGCATGCATACAGATCTACATACATGGGCATATAAATTTCATGAAAGCATCCATCTATGAGTGAGAACATGTGACTTTTGACATTTTTTTCAAATCTGTGTCACTTCACTTATTAGTATACACTCTATATCTATCCATTTCACTCAAAACTTAATTTTCCTTTACAGTTTAATAAAATTAGCTCATATATAGATGCCCCAATTTCATTTTCTGTTCATTTTTTCCTGTGTCTATGCTGGTTTCATTTCTTTGCTTTGGAAGAAATAAATACATACAAAATTATAAAGGAGACTTTGTTTGTCCTATAGCTTTTTCTGGGGATGCAGGAGCATTTATATTTCTTTTGACCCCAGACAGGCAGCCAACAACAGACCAAGAAACTGTTATACTGGACTCTAGTTTAGCAAACCGGTGAGTTTCTGGTAGTATTTACAGAAGTTAGGGTCAGTGTAGTTGTATGTAATAAAGTGATCCCACACTAGCTCAGAAGGGGGTACAATAAAGAGTTCTTTATTTACGAGTAGACTCACAGATCTATAGTCTTCTTCACGTGAAGAGGCCTTCTGCATCTTCTAAGTTTAAGGATGTTCTGATACTTCTAAGTTTGATTACTTTGTCTAAATCACCATGTTACTTCCTTCTCAAAGTATATTTCAGAGAAATAATAAAACAACACAATACAGTAGCATATGTTAACAGAGAAGGGTGCAGATGCGTAACAGAAGTTAAGGTAGTTGACATTTCTTAGGATAAATCAAAAAAAAATATTGTTTAGGTATTATACTTTTTTAGAGGGAATGATTAATACTAGAGCCTATAATGTCGGTGGGAGTGATATCACCACTTTCAAAATGCTTTCTATAATCTACTTCTCAGACAGGTTAAAATTTCTTGTTATTATGTTTCTTAGTCCTCTCGGAGATTAAGTTTTTTGAAGTAAAATAATTGTGGCTCAATTGTGATATGATACATGTACTTACCATATTTTTTCTCTGAACCTAGCAGGATTTTGTCAGGAATTTGTCAATAATGCATCCTCAAAAATCACCAGAAAGTATTCCTTCCATATAGAAATACTTAGACTATCATAGAAAAAGGAAAGAGTATTATTTCTTGATGCACTAAAGTATGGCAAAAGTTATTCTGTGGTGTCAGTCTCTCTGAACATTACAAGCAAGAGAGAATATTTTCTGAGAGAATCAAATGAGAAACATCAGTATGTTATTCTTCTGGAATTTAGAATAAATTATATAAGAGAGAAAGCATCATTTATTGTGGTTGTAATGAGAGAATATCTCTAATGGTGCATACAAAGGCTTCACCTCTTTACTGAGGGCATTATCTACCAAATTCTCTGCATCTCCATGCTGGTAAGATGAAGTACATGTGACCAGAATTCAGGACTCTTGCTTTTTTGTGGTGGTTTGTCAAATCTTCATCTCATGAATACTTACAGCTGAAACAACATAAAAATTGTAGACTAACTTTTCTGCTTCATAGAGAATCAAAAATCATCATAAAACTATACATTTGTCTTTTATACTCATTCTGGTAAACAGAGAGTACTTCACAGCCATCACAGTAAGTTATTAGGCCAAAGACAGGCTGAGTATGACGACACAGGATTGCAATTCCATGGTTATTTGGTGCACTACTACAGTATAGGATATATTTTTTCCTTGGGTGTTTTCTGTTGTCAAAACTTTATCTCATGAACAGTTACAGGTGAGAATACACAAAAATGGAGGTGACTAACTTCCTGCATGACATGAAAAAAATGTTAAATCTCTTGGTAGTGACAGTCATTCACCCAAAAAGAGGGCAAATCAAGAGTCTATTCTAAAAGTCATTGGAATAGTTAATGAGTAGTTTATTTGATGTAGCTGGGTCTTTTTTCTATGTGTTACTTTAATTGGCTAATTAATAAAGAATCTGCTTGGCCTGATAGGTCAGAAGATAGGTGGGTGGAGTAGACAGAACAAAATGCTGGGAGAAAGAAAGCACAGTCAGGCAGATGCCATAGCTCTCATCTCCGAGATGGACACAGGTTAGAATCTTCCTGATAAGCCACCACCTTGTGGTGTTACACAGATTACTAAATATGGGTTAAAGCAAGATGTGAGAATTAGCCAATAAGAGGATAAAACTTATGGGCCAGGCAGTGTTTAAATGAATATAGTTTTGTGTTGTTATTTTGGGTGTAAAGCTAGCTGTGTGGGAGCCAGGTGGGACAAAAAGCAGGCCTGCTTGCCACATCACTACATTTATTCTCAATGAATTTTTCAATAAATTATAGTAGAGAACACATGGTGATATAAAAGCTAAGAACTTTTCTGGAGTATACTGTGCAACATCTTATCATTAAGACTATTGTGTGCAGTACCCTATTCAGAATGATGCTGGTGAGATGAAGAACAATTTGATCAGTGCCTTTCTGACTAGAGTAAAGCTCACTACTTCTTCATTTAATATGGCCTGTGGATGGACATACATAATAGATTTGCTAATCAGACATGGAATTTCTGTATGTATACCACTTACCTTTCCCAAAATTATTTGAGCTATATATTCTAAACCATTACAATTTAGAGGTCATAAGGAAAGGTACAGTACAAAGTAAAATGATATGAAGACAGTGTAATATTTTTACCTTGTAATAACTCTAGATGCTATGCAGTTAAAAAGAGACCATTAGAGAACAAGGGGGGAAGTAGGCCTTAAGGTAGAGGATGGAATAAAATTTATGTAATATTAAAGTAGAAAATAGATTACCATGAGTGGAAAAATTTAATTGTAGAATGCTTTTGATAGTAAGGTAGAGGAAGAGGGAGGGAGGAGAAGGTTGAAGAGGTATCTGAAACTGAAGATCTATGAAAAAAATACTAAACACGAACTGTTATAAGCTTGTTAGAAGTATAATTTTACAGACAGTCCACAAGATATTTCAGAAGGTAAAAACACTTGCTGCACAAGTATTTGAAACTTAATTTCATATCAAGTACCAGGGATATAGGAAAAGAATTCTCTCTTCTCTCTCTCTCTCTCTCTCTCTCTCTCTCTCTCTCTCTCTCTCTCTCACGCACACACACGTACATACACACAGAAAAAACATTGATAATAAACAAAATATTTTTAATTATAGGAATTGTGCAGTGGTACCCTACCTGTGGGAACAGTGTTACATTCAGAAGCTGTTTTGTAGGTGGTTTAGTAAAAATTCCCTTCTTGTGTGGGAAGCTTCCCAATGACCAGTTGCCCAGGGTGTCACTAGAGCCTCGTAGATATAATATTGGCATTGTGTTTGGTTACCCACTAGATTGAGATGATAAGATCTTATTGTTGAACGCATTATATAACTTAGTTATAGTGTCAGAAGGTGCTGTTCATGGGGGGGGGAAAGTACTGGCACTTAACTACAATAGGGAACTCTGTCTACGAATGTCTACATGACTGATAGATACTAACCAACTATTTTCTTATGTATTTGAGGCATGTGGACGAAGTAGAAGCTTATATCCAGTACTGTAAACCTGGTTAAGATCCAGCCTGTCATCAGGGAAGTCATAGAATCTTGATGGTAAACTACTAGTGGTTGATATATATTATATATATATTTCCATCTTTGTCTGATCTTTATATCATTGTAGTAGTTACTCTGAAAAAGTATTTGGACTTAGAAAACATTTTTCTATTTTCTTTTTTTACAAAAATTGAGAAGATTTGGTGTAAAGTTCTACAAAGGTTTTATAGACTCAAGTAGTGAATTCATCTAGGCCAGGACTTTCTTTTATACTGCAAGATTATTTACTACTTTTCAAACATGCTAGCCTTTTCTGTATCTGCTTAACTTGTTCTTCTAATCTTGATTTAACTAATTAAATTATGTTTACTTAGAAATTTCCCTATCTTTTTAAATTTCCAAGTTAGTGGCATATAAATTATGGTCTGTCCTAATAATTTTGTGAATTTCATTGGCATCTGTTTCATTGACACCTTTTTCCCCAGCTCTGACTTATTTAGTTGTGTGTTCCCTATCGTTTTGTCAGTTTGTCTAAGGCTTTGTCAATCTTATTTATCTTTTACAAGAACCAATTTATTGTTTCATTGTCTTTTATTTATGTTTTTTTCATTTCTATTTCATTAATTTTGTTTGCCTTCATCATGATTACTTTCTTTCAACTAATGATTTGTGTTTGGCTTGTTTTTATTGTTTTCAAGGTGATATGATGCATTATTTGTTAATTTGAAATTTCTCAACTTATATTTTTATATGGGGCGATTTTTATTTTATATATGTCGATGTTTTGCTTGCATGTGCACCAGGCCAGAATAGGAAGTGGAACTGGAAGTATGGGTGGTTGTGAACCACGTTATGGGATGTAGTTTGAATGAAATGCATTCTAAAACAAAATGTGATTTTAGAATAAGTTATATCCAAGGTTGTATCATAGATTCTAATTTATATTAAAAATAAAATCCAGGAATCAGATATTAGGGGGCAAAAGCTGAGGGATCAGACAAGCAGTTCAGCTAGCCACTAGAGAGACCATTTACCTCCACCAAATCATCAAACTAAAGTCCTCAACAAGTCCTCAGACTGACTGCTTTAGATTGTGTCCTTACTACATTTGAACGCCTGTCTCCTCTTACCTTATATTCCTTTCTCAACTCAGCCATATCACTTAGAGTCTCCACCTCCCTGGTGCTGGGATTAAAGGTATTGACCCTTAGTACCCTGCTGTGTTTGTCTTTGAGGTACTATGGTGAAAGCTGAATTTGATGATGGAGACACTGGGCTCCACCAATCCAAATCAACATTAAATATAGTTTGAATACCCAGTGAGACTCCATTGGTGAAAACTTAAGTTTTGCTTTTCCAGTAGTTATCAGTTGGTGATGGGTTCTAGGTTAGGAATGGGTGCTTGTATTCTTTTAGCATTGGGACCTCCTGTGGCTCAGACCTGTATAGGCCCTTCACATTACCACAGTCTCTTTGAGTTTATATGTGCATCAGTGATGTCCATTTTAGAACCTGTGGTTTCCTTGGTGTCTTCCATCCTGCTGGCTCTTAACAATCTTTGTGACACCCTGTTCAGAAGAGTTCCCTGAGTCCTGAAAGGAGGGATTTGTCATAAGCATCCCACTTAGGACTGG